TTATCACTCAATTCTGCAAGTGGTTCTGATTTACTATCGCTGTTCTAAAACCGCTTTTGGCGTAAAGGGACGCTTTTTGGCCGCCATGGACTTTTCTAAGTTTCCAGGCAGAAAGAACAGTCAAAATGCAGGCAGGGCACAGGAAAAAGCAGTGGGGACAAAATGTATGTGAAATGCAGTGAAAAAGCAATGACAGCAATAATGTCATTTTTTAGAAATCTCAAATTTCCCGCCGGTTCCGCCGCCTGAACGTTCCGACGTCACAGGGACCGGAACACGGAAGCCAGATGCCGGCATCCGCCGGAGGAGATGGACGGGGACGCTGCAGGGGACCCATCGTGGGAGCGAAGGACAAGGTAAGTGCTGCAGGGACCCCCAGAGAATGCTGCATGGTAAGCCCGAGTGTAGCTCGGGGTTACTGTTCTTGGTATAGAAATTCTACCCCGAGCTACACTCGGGAATACCGCCAAGGAGGTTAATATGGATTGAGAGCACATTCCCTTTCCTTGTGGGAAGTATTCCCCAGTCTAAAACACCAATCGGGGAGCTGAGTGACTCCCAGAGTTGGAAAAGATATGGTGGCATTAGAAGTAATATTGGTCAAACCAATACTTACATTCCCTTTTATTAACAAAAATATTTTGACTGGAGCGGCCAGAAGAGGAATTTCATATGTGCTCGGATGTAACTTACTACATATCCAACATTTATCAGAACCTGATTTTTGAGCATAAGCATATTTAAACTGCATCATCAACATTTTTCCTGAAAAAGGATTGTTCTCTTCAAAACTTCTTTTTGACTTTCTTTCACTTTTGGTTATCTGGGTCTCATTTAAATCTAGTCCTTGACCACAGATACCTTTTATTAGACCCAAGTCCTCAGGGTGATAAACAGAGTTAGTTATGATCCATTCTGGCAGGAAAAAGAGCACAGTCAGTGTGCCCAATAGGACCCAGAGCTTCAAAACACCATGAGGGGCAGTAAGGAATGTCATCTTCAGGGTCTTTCTCACCGACTTCACCCGCTCTTCGAGGATTTTCTACTTGTCTTTCACCTCCTTTTTCCGTTTCGTATTTCTCAGGTGTTTGGTACACCTTCTTCACTCGACTAGCATGGATCCAGGACTGGGAATTCTCCACCAGAACAGCCGTTCTGGTAACCGCTATCACCGTAGTAGGTGGTCCAAAGGGGTAGCCTTGCTTCTTGTCTTTAGCGAGTTGGCGGACCACTACATCTCTCCCACTTGGAAAGGGTGTGTTGGTTCCTGAAAAGATAAAGGAGAGGTGCGAGCAACATTTCTTTCAATCTGATCTAAAGTCTGAATCAATTTTCTCACATATTCTTGTTGTACCAGGTCAAGGTCCCCTCTTTCTAACATAAGTGGCTGTCTAGCCCAAGGAGTGGGGAACGGTCTTCCCATTAATATTTCAAAAGGAGATAACCCTGTAGTCTTATTAGGTGTCATTCTTACCTCTGCTAGAATTGCAGGTAACATCTTCTTCCAGTGGGTATAGGTTCCTCCAGTGGCCTTCCTCAACTTATCCTTAATCGTCCTGTTCATCCTTTCTACTATACCCCAACTTTGAGGATGATAGGGAATATGAAACCTCCAATCTATCTTAAGTACTTTTACCAGGTCTTGGCATACCTTCGCCACAAAAGCTGGTCCGTTATCAGAATTTATCTGCAGTGGACATCCCCATCTGGGTATTATCTCCTGTGTAAGAATTCTGACTACAGTTTGTGCATCTTCTTTATTAGTGACAAATGCTTCCACCCATCTGCTAAACATATCCACCATTACCAACAAAAACTCTTGCCTCTGTCCTGTTTTTGGCATGTGGGTAAAATCTATTTGTAAATGGGTGAAAGGTGTAGTTGGGTACACTAGATGCTGGTGTTGTGATTTCTTTGGGTTCTGTGGATTGTTCCTTATACATGTAATGCACCTGGAAACATATTCTTTCACCAACCTAGATAAACCGGTAATGTAAAAATCCTGCAATAATGTTTCACATGTCGTTTTCTATCCTCTATGTCCTAGACCGTGGTACTGTGCAATGAACAATGGGGCACTTGACATGGGAATGCATAGTTTCCCCTCTAAGCACACTAGACCAGAAGCTGGATCTAGTTGTGCTCCAGAACCATTCCAGTCTGCTAAATCGATTTTTGTAGCAAATTTTTGTAAATCTGCATACAATTACTACTCACAGGCCTGTGCTTTCTGCAGTCACCTCCTTCTTAGGTACACCATCCCTAGGCAACAGGCTTAGGAGGACCAGACTTCAAGTACATGCCCTCTCCCGAGTACATGGCCACACCCAAATACCAATAGCCCCTCCCAGCCCGCACCACTGGCAATAAACTTCCTAGTGGCTGGCCAAAATATTCATAACTCAGCAACAATGGATTTTTTTTGATAGGGACACTCCCAAGCAGCATGCAGAAACAAACAATAATACTGCTATTAAGGTAATAGGGGCACTTGGCAGGGGGAGGAGCCAGGAGCGTAAGCAGGGGACCCCAAAAGAAGAGGATCAGATCTGCTCTGTGCAAAACCATTACACAGAGCAGGTAAGTATAACATGTTTGCTACTTTAAAAATACCTTTAGAATCACTTTATAGTGTCACTAAACGCACAACATAAAAAACTATCAAGAAATGCTGCTGCATGCCGTTCATTCTCACTCATTCACTAAGGAATTTGTTTTCTGTATTCTGCAAAAAAACTGGTTGATCCTGATGTTCCCTATCTCCCCCTGCTGTCCATGTCCCCAATGCAGCTTGGGATTCTGCAGAGCAGTGGCGGCAGCTACTGCACATGCTCAGGTGCAGTGAGTTTCTATTCTGAGCATTTCCTCCTTATCACATCTGAGCAGCCCATGTGACTATAGAGTCACAGATGTGGGTGTATACACAGGGGTAAATGACAGCCCACTCCCTCCCACCTCCTCCTCCTCCAGTCCTACTAACCAGCTTAACACAATGGGGGGTGGGATATTACATCTTGATGGATGGAGGCTTTGCCTCCTTGTTATTCTAAGACACAAGCTGGAGGGGCCGTGACACTGTGACACTGAGCCTGTGATTGTCAGAAATCTGCCCACACCATGTCATTGCCAAAATAATAAAGATTTGATCTCAAATAAATATTTATATGAGGTTTAACCACCTCCCATCCGGCCGTTGTATATAAATGGCTGGACGGTGGCAGTGCAGGGGCGGGTGGCCGTTTATAAACGGTCTCCCCGCCCCCTGCTTGTTAGGGCTCCCTGGGAGCACACAGCACCGCGATCCGGGGGGTTTGAAGTACAGAGGTGAGCAGAGAGGGAGTTTGGAGTACAGAGGTGAGCAGATAGGGGGTTGGGGTACAGAGGTGAGCAGAGAGGGAGTTTGGGGTACAGAGGTGAGCAGATGGGGGTTTGAGGTACAGAGGTGAGCAGACAGGGGGTTTGGGGTACAGAAGTGAGCAGATGGGGGGTTAAGGCACAGAGGTGAGCAGAGAAAGGAGTGTGGAGGTGAGTAGAGAGGGGGGTTCAGGGTATGGAGGTGAGCAGAGAGGGGAGATTTGGGGTGTAGAGGTGAGCAAGCCAAAGTGGAGGTTCAGATCTGTGCTGCTGCATGTAGGGCACTCCATTCATTTCAGTAGGCTTCCCTACCTGCAGAAAAACAGGGAAAGACATCCCCAAACCTTTGTTTTAAAACGCACTGCAGTTGCCAATGTGTGGGGGTCGGATTTAGGAATTCTAGACGCTCTTTTGCTTCTGCTAAAGAGCAGCGCATTTGTCTTCATGTCGGGGACACATCACAATTTTGTGGTCGTTCCCCGACATGCAGTAATGTGAACCAAGCCTTAAACTGGGGTGCTTTGAGACTGAAAATAATTTTCAAGGACGCCCTGATTGGGAAAAGGTTGAGAAACACTGGCTTAGAGTCCCTTTAACTGTGTCTATTAGAAGCACATGCATTTTCAAATACAGACAGTAGAGGGCAACAGATCCCCACACAAGCATTCAAAATGCCAACTGCCCATCTACTAGAATAAAAGAAACAGAACAATAGCATCGCGCCTGTCATGTGATCACCTTGATCAGTTTTGTCGTCTATAAAAAACAATGTAATATCCGTTAGTAAACATTTAGGCTCCATGCACACGGGGTGTTTTAATAATGCTGGTAGCGTTAGCTGTGCAAGTTTTTTTGTGTTTTCTAGCGTTTCTGCATTAGCGTTTAGCCGAGTTTTTCTGCGTTTGCATTGTGTAGCGTTTTTAAAAACAACCAAAAAAAATTTTCTCCAAAAAAATGCCAATAAACGCTGGTTTGCCGCATTTTACCGCGTTTTACAGAGTTTTTCAACATTAGAGCATTTTTTACAGCTAAAAAACTCCTCTAGAAACCCGCTAGTCCTGGGGTTTTTCCAGCCAAAAAACGCTGATTAAAGCCTATGTGTGCATTGTAGACTTCACCTCCGGAACATCTCCAAGATACGCCCGTTCGTAACCTCCGAAACCGCTGAGCAATGTATTCTCGCCCTGGTTATCTCTTGCCTTGAATATTGTAACTCCCCCCTCATTGGCCGCTATGCCCTCTTCAGTCTATCATGAATGCTGCTGCCAGACTCATCCACCTTACTAACCGTTCTGTATCTGCCACCCCTCTCTGCCAATCCCTCCACTGGCCTCCACTCTTTGTCCTCCACCCCTCTCTGCCAATCCCTCCACTGGCCTCCATTCAGTGTCCTCCACCCCACTCTGCCAATCCCTCCACTGACCTCCACTCAGTGTCCTCCACCCCTCTCTGCCAATCCCTCCACTGGCCTCCACTCAGTGTCCTCCACCCCACTCTGCCAATCCCTCCACTGGCCTCCGCTCAGTGTCCTCCACCCCTCTCTGCCAATCCCTCCACTGGCCTCCGCTCAGTGTCCTCCACCCCTCTCTGCCAATCCCTCCACTGGCCTCCACTCAGTGTCCTCCACCCCACTCTGCCAATCCCTCCACTGGCCTCCACTCAGTGTCCTCCACCCCTCTCTGCCAATCCCTCCACTGGCCTCCACTCAGTGTCCTCCACCCCTCTCTGCCAATCCCTCCACTGGCCTCCACTCACTGGCCTCCACCCCTCTCTGCCAATCCCTCCACTGGCCTCCACTCAGTGTCCTCCACCCCTCTCTGCCAATCCCTCCACTGGCCTCCACTCAGTGTCCTCCACCCCTCTCTGCCAATCCCTCCACTGGCCTCCACTCAGTGTCCTCCACCCCTCTCTGCCAATCCCTCCACTGGCCTCCACTCAGTGTCCTCCACCCCTCTCTGCCAATCCCTCCACTGGCCTCCACTGAGTGTCCTCCACCCCTCTCTGCCAATCCCTCCACTGGCCTCCACTCAGTGTCCTCCACCGCTCTCTGCCAGTCCCTCCACTGACCTCCCATTGCCCAACGATAAAATTCAAAACATTAACAATAACATATGAAGCCATTTATAACTCTGCCCCAAATTACATCACCAATCTTGTCTCCAAATATCACCCAAACTGTCCTCTCCGCTCCTCCCACCACCACCTCCTGCTCTCTAGCTCCCTTGTCTTCTCATCCCATGCTCATCTCCAGGACTTCTCCAGAGCTTCCCCCGTCCTCTGGAACTCTCTACCCCAATCTATCAGACTATCACCTACTCTGCCCACTGGAAAACCTATCTCTTCAGGGAAGCCTAGCCTGCCTTTAGCTAATAATACAATCTTCTATTCCTCCTATCAGTTCATCCGCCCAATTATTACCTTTTGTACCACTAGCCCCTCCCTCTTAGATTGTAAGCTCCAAGGAGCAGGGCCTTCCTAACCCTCTTGTTTTGAACAGATCAGAGCAGTACTGTGGCTTAATGGTTAGCACTTCCCCCTGGCAGTACTAGGGTCGTTGGTTTGAATCCCAACCATAGCAGCACCTGCTTGGAGTTTTCCCTGTGCCTGCGTGGGTTTCTTCCAGGTACTCCAGTTCCCTCCCACCCTCCAAAGACATGCTGGTATGTTAATTGGCTCCTGTCTAAATTGTCCCTAGTATGTGTATGTATGAATGTGAGTTAGGAACCTTAGATTGTACACCCCTTGAGGGTTACGGACTGATGTGAATGTATATATATATATATATACCCATATGGAAGAAAAATATATTTGAAATGCTACAATTTTGGCCGTATTCAATATATTTCAAAATATATTTCAATAAATATATATATATATACAGGTGAAACTTGAAAAATTAGAATATCAATAAAACAAGGATTGTACATAGAACAATATCGGACCTCTGAAAAGTAGAAGCTGCATATGTACTCAGTACTTGGTTTGGGCCCCTTTTGCAGCAATTACTGCCTCAATGCGGCGTGGCATGGAAGCTATCAGCCTGTGGCACTGCTGAGGTGTTATGGAAGACCAGGATGCTTCAATAGCGGCCTTTAGCTCTTCTGCATTGTTCAGTCTCATGTCTCTCATCTTTCTCTTGGCAATGCCCCATAGATTCTCTATGGGGTTCAGGTCAGGCGAGTTTTCTGGCCAATCAAGCACAGTAATCCCACGGTCATTGAACCAGGTGTTGGTGCTTTTGGCAGTGTGGGCGGTGCCAAGTCCTGCTGGAAAATGAAGTCAGCATCCCCATAAAGCTCGTCTGCGGAAGGAAGCATGAAGTGCTCCAAAATCTCCTGGTAGACGGCTGCGTTGACCCTGGACTTAATGAAGCACAGTGGACCAACACCAGCAGATGACATGGCTCCCCAAATCAACACAGACTGTGGAAACTTCACACTGGACTTCAAGCATCTTGCAGTGTGTGCCTCTCCATTCTTCCTCCATACTCGGGGTCCTTGTGCCTCTCCATTCTTCCTCCATACTCGGGGTCCTTGGGCCTCTCCATTCTTCCTCCATACTCGGGGTCCTTGGCCTCTCCATTCTTCCTCCATACTCGGGGTCCTTGTGCCTCTCCATTCTTCCTCCATACTCGGGGTCCTTGTGCCTCTCCATTCTTCCTCCATACTCGGGGTCCTTGGGCCTCTCCATTCTTCCTCCATACTTGGGGTCCTTGGGCCTCTCTATTCTTCCTCCATACTCGGGGTCCTTGGGCCTCTCCATTCTTCCTCCATACTCGGGGTCCTTGTGCCTCTCTATTCTTCCTCCATACTCGGGGTCCTTGGGCCTCTCCATTCTTCCTCCATACTCGGGGTCCTTGGGCCTCTCCATTCTTCCTCCATACTCGGGAGGAAGAATGGAGTTTCCAAATGACATGGAAAAGTTGCGCTAATCAGAAAAGAGGACTTTGGACCACTGAGCAACAGACCAGGTCTGTTTTTTTTAGCCCAGGTAAGACGCTTCTGACGTTGTTTGTTGTCCAGGATCCGTCTGTGTGTGGTGGCTCTTGATGCACTGACTCCAGCCTCAGTCCACTCCTTGTGAAAGTCCCCAACACTTTTGAATGGCCTTTTCCTGACAATCCTCTCCAGGCTGCGGTCATCCCTGCTGCTTGTGCACCTTTTTCTTCCACACTTTTCCCTTCCACATAACTTTCTATTAATGTGCTTTGATACAGAACTTTGGGAACATCCAACTTCTTTTGCAATTACCTTTTGAGGCTTTCCCTCCTTATGGAGGGTGTCAGTGATGGTGTCAGGTCAGCAGTCTTTCCCATGATTGTGATTCCTACTGAACCAGACTGAGAGACCATTTAAAGGCTCAGGAACCCTTTGCAGGTGTTATGGCTGAATGAGCTGATTAGAGTGGAACACTTTGAGCCGAGATTATTCCACCTTTTCACAATATTCTCATTTTCTGAGATTGTGGATTTGGGGTTTTCATGAGCTGTAAGCCATAATCATCACAATGATGACAAATCACGGCTTGAACTATCTTGCTTTGCATGTAATGAGTCTCATATATTAGTTTCACCTTTTAAGTTGCTGAACTGAAATAAATGAACTTTTGCACGATATTAGAATTATTTGAGTTTCACCTGTAGACTGCATGCTGAAGTGCGTTTTTATTACAAAATATATGAAAAATATTTTGAAAAATACATTTCAAATATACTGTATGTCTTGAAAAATACAAATCTACATTTTTGGAACGCATTTACCAATATATGTAAAAATATATGTTAAAAATACTTTTTTATATGTTAAAAAAAATCTGAAGAATATATTTTAAAAAATAAATTGATGGTGCTATGTAAGTACCTGAAATAAAATAATAATAAATAACTGTATTGTTGCTGTATTGTCTCCCGTTATATTATAAAGCGCTGAGCAAACTGTTGGTGCCATAAATCCTGTATAATAATAATATATAAATCCTGTATAATAATAATAATGGACACATAGGATAACATGCTGGGGAGTTTATTGGCTGTAGAAAAAAACACCAAAAGCCAAAAAAATCCCGTGTGCATGGGACTTTATAGTTGCAAAGATAATTTTCTGTCTCCTTGTACAATATTATCATGTACAGTATTTTCTATTTACACGTCCTGAACCTTGGTCACCTCTCGGACAGTCTGGTTGGGAAATCTTCATTGTGTTCCTTTATTTTATGTTTGCAGTTCTCTAAATGTTAACACAATAGTAAAGTAAAAAAAAAAAAAAAAGCCTTCCCGTAAGTTGTCAATATTTAACCTCTCCATGTGAGGCCAGTCTAAGTCCATATAAACAGAGGATCCAGAAAGCTCAGCAAATATTTAATTGGATTGGATGCACAATACTCGTGGCCCCCACACAGCCGGCTCCAATCTCCACCCATTCCTGACCAGGGGAGGACTGACAACTCATGGGGCCCCCGAGCAATAAGGGATCATGGGGCCCCTGTGTCCTTGCTCAAACTCAAAAAAGCCTATAAAAAAGGTACCAGGGGCATCTCATGGGTTCCCCCTACTGATCCCGGGCCCTCGGGCAGTGCCCGAGTTTCCAAATGGTCAGTCCGCCCCTGTTCCTGACCAAATATTCACACCGCAGCACATTCCTCCAATTAGGGTTTGCACACTGTCCCCAAATTCTAAAAGTCATCCGAATGTGCAGCCAATCACGACAGCTGCTCCCCTTCATGGCCCCTTCCTGCCCGTTTGCATTACAGTAATGTGCGGGAAAATGCAGGTTGCGGTAACCACCTCCAGCAACCTATGCACTGTGGTGTGACACAGTGCCATTCACTTTGAATACTTGTTGTCAAGTCCTTGAACCTGTAACTGTGCTTTGACTACCACCAGGGGCCCTCGGGCATTGTCCAAGGGCCCGGGGGTCAGTAGGGGGCCACATAAGATGCCCCTGGTACCTTTCATAGACTTTTTTGGGTGTTGGTTTGAGTGTGGGAAAGGTCACAGAGGCCCCATGATTTCCTATTGCCCAGGGGCCCCATGAGTTGTCAGTCCGCCCCGGACTAACACACAGGGGCGGACTGACAACTCATGGGGTCCCCGGGCAATAGGGGATCATGGGGCCCCTGTGTCCTTGCCCATACTCAAAAAAGCCTATGAAAAAGGTACCTACCAGGGGCATCTCATGGGGCCCCCTACTGACCCCAGGTTTCCAAATGGTCAGTCCGCCCCTGCTACCACATTATGTATATCAACGTTGCAGTTTTACTGTTGTTATGGCTTTAGATATCAGCCATAACCCCGGTATCTTTTTTTTCTGCCGGTGGCTGGATTTCTGATGATAGTGGTCTCTGTGACTCATTAGCCACTTGATCGCTTTCAGTAGCGGCGGAGAGGACACACCCCCCACCCCTCCCACAGCTCACCAGTGTTTCTCAGGCGTACTGTTGAAACCAGCGTGCTTGAGAAACGTTCCAACGGTGCACCCAGGCGATGATCACCTCTATGACAGTGGAGAATCGCAACAACGCCATGACGTCACATCCGGTCCAGGGCGGGTGTAAACTTTTTTTAAGCAAAAAAAGTTTTTTTTAATTTTTTAGAGCAAAAAAAAATTTTTTTTTTTTTTTTAAATCTTTTGCTTTTAGAGGTAAAAGAGAGATTTGGGGTCCCCAGATTTCTCCTTAAAGAGGACATGTTCTGATTATTTCTATTACAAGGGATGTTTACATTCCTTGTAATAGGAATAAAAGTGATAAAAAAAAAAAAAAAGTAAAGGGACAGTGTAAAAATTAAAAAAAATCAAATAAATAAGATTTTTTTTTTAAAAGCACCCCCATCCCTCTGTGCTTGTGCACAGAAGTGAATGCATATGTAAGTCATGAACGCATACGTAAACGGTGTTCGCAGCACACATGTGAGGTATCGCCGCAAACAGAGCGAGAGCAATAATTCTAGTGATAGAACTCCCCTGTAACTCTAAACCAGTAGCCTTTAAAAAATTTTAAAGCGGCGCCTATGGAGATTTTTAAGTACCATAGTTTGTCGCCATTCCAAGAGCGTGCGCAATTTTCGAAGCATATTAGGTATCTATTTACTCACTGTAAAATTCTCTTTCATATTTTACAAAAAAAATATACTGTGTGTGTGTGTTTTAATTAATTAAAATGTATTATTTCCCAAAAAATTGCTGCACAAATACTATGTGACATAAAATATTATAAATAAATAAAAATACAATTATAAATAAAATTGCAACAGTTGCCATTTCA